CATTTAAAACTACAATCTATTAGTAACCTAGTATTTCTTTTATTACTGTATAATGTAATCCTAGTATTTGTAATCCTAGTAACTACTAATTCATTGTGCAATTTATATAAATGTTTGTAATAAATAAGAGAAAATTATATTTTTATTTATTTAGAAGCTACGGGTAAGTTTCAAAAGAGGACGGGTTCATTGTTGGACAAGCCGTCCTCGGGGACGGGTAAAATTTCGGAGTTTTTTCAAGCCCTGGCAGAGGGTATTTACAAAAACTTTGTTGAAAATAATTTTTTCTGTCAATAATTTGTTTGTCACAAGAAAATCTGTCATTTTCCTGGCTGCTTTTATTTAATGACTTATAGCCGAAAAAGATAGCTCCAGCAATCAATATCTTATGTTAATAGATTGATTAGAATACCATCCTATCTGAACATGTCTTATTGCAGGAATAAAGTAGCGACTTTCTGGTTCAAAGCCTATTTCAAAAATTTTTTCAATGTGAGTAGGTTTTTATGTTGCCATTTTCCTCTCTTCTTGAAATCATTAATGACTTTAACTACGTAGATTTACCTGAGTTATTTCAAGAAATCCTGTTGTTTTATGCGGAATGTAAATATCGTAGGCCAAAGTGTTAAATTAAAGCTTATGCTTAATAATGTTAAATTAAAGCTAATGTTAAATTAAAGTAAGAAATGTTAAGTTAATTGTTATATAATGGAAAATTGTCATTATCCTGGCTGTCATTTTCCTGGCTTATAAATGCCAGGACATTGAAACAGCTACCAGAAAATTTTTTAAACAATTGAATGTAAAGAGAGAAAGCAAATATTAACCTAATACCAAGTTTATGATTGATTGTTAAGATTGTAATATGTTTGAATGTAATCAAATTTTTTTATTTTGTTTAATGATTGATTATTTTACACAGTTTTATTCTGTACATATCAGCAACAAAACCATTTTTGATTCTTTCTACTGTGGATAAAAGAATTAATTTAAGCAATTCATGGTCCATCTAACGCAAAGGCTTAAGTTGAGTTGCTTACTATTAGCTTAAAATGACTGTTTTTTTAAACTTCTCAGCTAATAAGTCATTTTCCTGGCATTCAAAATTTGGTGAGTTTCTAATTTATTTTATTTTTCTTGAGCAAATGTCAATAAACTACACTGCTGTCTGTAAGATATTAATAAATGTAACTAAAGAAGTATACAAAAAAAATTTTAAAAATTAGATTATTTTGAGAATTTTAAATTTGAAGAAATTTTTTGTTCCGAATTGTCATGTTTCCAAAGAATCACCCATATGTCAGTGCCAGGCGGACAATGGTATCGCCGAGTGTTTGCTTTATTTACTTTCCCTGTCACTTCTCCTTGAACAGAGCAATAAATAGTAGTTTTTATTATAATTAATGTTGTTCATCTTACAATCTGGAAAACTTGTTTCAAAAATTTTATGTTACAGCAATAAGTGAAGCCTTATTCCATTAACCATTCGAAGTTTAACATTTTGAACTGCTTACCATTCTTAAGTGTAAATCTTTTCTTTTTTTATATTGCACATTTTTATATTAACAGGTATATATAAGGGTAAAATTATACTATACTAAATACTTTAATACTATAAAATACTTTAGAAAAAAGTTTTGGGAACTTTTAAAAATTATCATGTTTTTATAATGCTGTGCCTTTTTGGTTGCAAATAGTCTAAATATTGCTTTTTATAGATATGTCTTAATGTTAAAATCTTTCAATTAGCTAATATGAAACTAATTTGTATCAAAATTTAGGCTGCCTTTGAATGTATGTACACATTACTAGATTCTTGCCTTGATCGTATAGATATTTTTGAATTTCTTAATCATGTTGAGGATGGTTTAAGAGATCACTATGACATCAAGATGTTGACATACCTTATGCTAGTACGACTCGCTTCTCTTTGTCCATCTGCAGTTTTGCAAAGTACGTAAACTATTTCTAATTCTCTTATAGAGCACTTACATTTATGTTATTCATTTTCAAAAATAACTTTGTGTCCTAAATAACTAAAAATACCTCTTTAATGTCTGAATCCTTTCACTTTACATGTAGGTTTCGAATAATACAAAATTACTATCTTTTTTATTAAAGAAATTGGTTATTTTAAATGTCAGTAACACTAAATATGTTTTGCTATTTGTACATAAATGAAGAATGAGACCTAAAAGTACAATAAACAATCACTTTTTTTTTGTTACAAAACGAAATATATATTAATATATATATCAAATCTGATAAAATCAATTAGGAAAAATCAGAAGAATTGATGATTTTTTTTAGTCATCCTGTTTCTGTTGAGATGATTTATGTTTCTCAAATAGATGTAGCATGTTTTATTTAGTGTTTGCATTTGATTATGTAGTTGTCTAATTTATGTAGGAGAGAATTCAAAATATGCTACAAAGAAAGCACATGAGAATTTTGTTTGGGGATAAAAGTGTACTTTTCTTGAACAATGAGGATTATAAATAAGGAAGAGACAATTTTATAGCCAACTTTGAGAGTTATTTGATTTCATCATCTCTGAATATAATTTACTTTTTTAACCAATTGGCCATTTTTTTTTTTNTTTTTTTTTTTTTTTTTTTTTTTTTTTTTTTTTTTTTTTTTTTTTTTTTTTTTTGAGTGGTGGTCAATCATTATTGGGTGTGTATACCTAATGGGGAAAAGAGGTTATGAAATTTAGAGTTAGTTGTTATGGATGCAATTCTTCTGTTAAACATCTTTTTTAAAGATGAATGTTTCAAAAGATTTCAGTTTAAATATTAAAAATGTATTGCTGAACTTAAGTTGAGTTATTTGCGGTAGTTCTTTTTAATGTTATGCTGAATATAATATATTGCTCCCAGAATTTACTTTTTTTTATTAATATGATTGATCTGTAAAAAAAAAAAAACTTTTTTGTAGTAATTGTTATTTTCAATCATGACAGGGATAGAACGTCTTGTAGATCCTTTAAGAGTAACCTGTACCACCAAAGTGAAAGCTAATTCTGTTAAGCAAGAATTTGAGAAACAAGATGAGCTGAAGAGATCAGCTATGAGAGCTTTTGCTGCATTACTTGCAGTACCAGATGCAGGTAAATTTCTTCCAGTTATAATTTTTATATAATATTTTATTATAATTTTTTTTTATTATTTAAAACATTACTGCCTCTTTTTTTTAATTCACTGATATAGACTAAAAATTCAAAATTTTATTACATTTATAGAGAGTGAAACTACTCTATAAATGCAATAAAATACAAGTTTTAGATCCAAAAATGTGTTTGTGGGTATTGCATGCAAAAGTAACCACTGGTGCAGAATGTTAAAGGTTTTTTTTTGGGGGGGGGAACTCAAGTAGCCCCGGGGCAATATTTCGGCTAATTAAAAAAAATACTAGAAAATATTTTATTTATTTGATAACTGCGTTACGCTTTTGGCTGATATTGTAATGGATTCCTTATGCTTTTTCTAAATGCAGAAATTTTATTTAAGATATTATGGTAACACTTGTAATTTGACTTACTCATTTGATCATTCAATTTTTGACCTTTTGTTTTTCCAAACGAGTTTTTGGTATTGCTTCTGATTTGTACATGGTTTACAAAATGTTGATATATTTTATACATATTTTTATTAGGACATGCTAAACTTGGAATTGCCCATTTGAGTCATCATTTTTGCCATTCCCACTGAATTTGCTTAGATTCATAGTTCTTTTTCAAGTTGTAGTATTTTATATACATAATTTTTTAAAAGAAATTCTGATGCTTAGGACCTGCGAAATTCAAATAACACATTTCGTTCTTCACTTTTTGACCTGCCGGTTCTCGTTCCCTCCATTTTTTGTTTCTCATAGTTATTGCTACCGATTTCTGCGAGGCCACTGCACGGCTATTGCTTCTTTTTGAATTTCGGTATTTTTAATATGATAGTATACACGAGTTTCTAACTGTGCATTTCAATAATTTTTGACGTGTCTATTTTATTTATTTTCGTCATAAATACACGTGGTTGTGACATCCATTTTGATTGTGCAACACAGTTTACGATTTTTTTACCATTTTTTTTCTTTCTAAACGCAAGAATATCATTTATAATATACACCTAAAGTGAAATCTCACAGTACAGACACAAAACTGACATTAAAAAAAAAAAATTCCCTGTGAATCTTCCTAACCATTATGTAAATGTTATTTTCTCTCTCTTCAAACCAGACACCGATTTTCTTAAAAAGATCTAAAAAAATATTTCTGCTTTAAATTTAAAAAAAAAAACATGCATCTTTCTCCCTTTTTTATAGCTTGTGAAATTTTTTACTTATCCATAACTAAAAATATTATTAAGCTTTTTCACCATATAAGAATCAATCATTCTTCTGTCACCCTCCTTTATAGGCCAAAGAAAGGTCATATGAAATATTGGACAGTGACATATTTTGATCTGGACAAACACAGCTTATGAGACCCTCACTAAAAATTCCTCTCTTCTAATCAATTTGACTCTTGTATTTAACACAGCTGTTTTTTTTTTTTTTTTTTTTAAGGAACAGAAATATAGTCATGGAGGTGTTCATATAAATCAAGCATTTTTTTAGACACGTGACAAATGATTGATTGTGAATACAACTCCATAGGGCTCTGTACCTTGCAAGGGAGTACTTTCTTTTGTATCACATCTGCCCTTCAAGGAGATAGTGTCATGTTGAAATTCCTTAAGTTTATGAGTACGACCTTAAATTTAGTTTTATAAATTATCACTATTTCAATATATTTTGTTTTCTGTTACTTTTATCACACGTACTAGTTTATTCCATAATTGTGTAAAATGAAACGTCCCCCCCCCCTTGCTTCGTTTGCTTTCCTTTAAAAAAAATTACAAACTTTACACTTTGAAAATACCGTAAAAGAGTGCTATAATTTGGGAAATTTCAAACCAAAATAACATTTAACGTAATGCTTGAACCGAATGTTTGCTTACAAGAACAATTATTCCCATCTTAAAATAAATAAAAAGTTCACCGGAAAATGTAAGAAATAATTATTAAATGTATTAACACTTGAAAACATTTTAAGCAATCTTTATCATGCTAAAATTTAAATTAATAAGATAATATCTGGAATAACTCTCTTCTAGAGTAAGTTTATTTTATTTAATCATCTATTATTGAAATACTCTCTTCAATTTTTTCTTTATTACAACATTTTGTTAGATGTATAGTTAATTAGTTACGTTTGTTTCAAAAACATCTGTAATTCAAATATAACACTTTTGCATTTATATAAAACTATTTTTTAGTGTTTGTCAAGAATTAACCCTTTCGCGACGCAAAGCGCGCTTACCGCTGAGGCCGGCAGTCTCTCTAGCGTGTGTCTCCCCAGGGCCGGAGGGTTTTTTGATGTTAAGCCTAATTCCATGAAATTACCGAAATATCAGCGCATTGTTTAATATTGTTCTGTAGAGTATTTAAGTGACATACGCTTTATATATATTTCTATGGATACTTTATTTACTTAAGTTATTTCTTGTTTAAATGTAATATAAATATTAATAAGTTTAAATATTTTGCATAATTTCCTCTATTTCCAGCTCAGTTAAAAATTTTCGACGCTTCGACATTCTAACGGTAAAAAGAAAAAAAATTCAAGCCTACAAGATCTAATTATCCACTAAAAACTAATCCGAAAATCGAAAGTAGCGAGAGATAAAAAAAACTCCCTTACTTACTGTAAATAAATATCACGTGCTAATTTAAAGAGCCCTCATAAAACATTCCCCCCCTCCTCTCCTTCCCCTAAAAACCACGTGAATGTACTTTCATCTTGAGTAGAAGGTCAAATCTACATGTATCTGAAACCATATGGACATACAATGCCATCTTTTGGAAGAAATTTCATTTTTTAAAACGTTCCGAAACGCTGGCACAAATAAGTGACGGTCGGGGGTGAACGAGAAAACTCTCTGACACGCGGGTGTGTCGGCCGGGAAGTGAGCGCGTTTCTTGCTGTCACATATATGTGACAGTCGGCTCGAAAGGGTTAACATTTGTTTTTAGCAACAGAAATTGTATTATACAAAAAACAATTGAAGTTTTAATATTTATTGGTTAATTTTAACTTAAGAAGTTTTTAGAAATTATTCAGTAACTCTTAATTTAGCCTTTAAATTTTATTTTAGCCTTTGTTTAAAAACATTTTTTTAGAACTCCGCTAATTATTTAATTTATGCATGTAGATTTTTAATCTATATTTAGTTAGAATCAAAAATCCATTTCTTGAATCTGCAAAGTTAAATATATTTATCTCAATTTACTTAAATCGCTACAGCTCTGATGAGTATCCTATTTTCCTGGATTCACTAACAATGAATATCTCTTTCTTTTTTCTTTTCAGATAAAAATCCATTAATGATTGATTTTCTAGCTCAAATCAAATCAACTCCAGACCTTCAAGTACTGTTTGAAGGAATCCAAAAAGATTGTTCCACGACAACTACAATCACGGATACTTATCTAATGGACATAAGTTAAAATATAGTAGGAAATTAATAGTTATTTTAAATATGATTCAAAATAAATCACCTATTCCAGTTGAAATAGGGCAGCATCTTCTCTATGATAAAGAGTATTACACGCTGTTTTTCAACTGTATTTTTTTTTCTTTCTTTGTTTTTTTGAATGGCCTAAAAATGGAACTCACCGCCAGATTCACGCTTTGTACATTGGCTCCGATTCATTATTTTTTTAAGATAAAGTTTGTAAAAGATATAAATTGTTTTCTCCTTCCTTTTTCTTTTACACCTTTTTAAAATGTTTTTGCCAATGCTAATGTTTGCTCTGTATTTGAGCATGTAAACATACGATTCGTAATAAAAGCTTTTTGACAGAATGTTGATGTTATTTCTATGAGCAAAACTGTTAATATAAACATTATGCTTTAAAATGGGAGTATTGAGTAGTAGTAGCCAGCGTAGAGATAAAATGTAAAGACAATAAAAATATTTGGGAGTTGTGTATGTCTGGCACTAAATACGTCATGTGGACAACAACAGAAACACTGCCCACATAGCCTATACTTAGTAGCGATATCATAAATTGATAATTTTACTCCATGTGAATTTTTTACTTATCACTTTGTTCAAGAGTACGAGTTACCAGAATTGAATATATTTAGGATTTTGTTGTAATCCCCCAATTTGTTTATCAAGAAAGCTGAAAAGCATTTCTTTACTTCAAGACTAAGTCAATCATTTTTTCAAGAGAACATTTTAGGATAGAAAAGTTTATTTTGATATTTGAAAGTAAAAAGATGTGTAGTAATGTGAATAAAATTTAATTTCATTATAAGCAAACTTGCTTTAAAATTACGGTTATAATTTTAAGTTATTAGATCTGTAATAACTGCATACTTAGCCTAATATGGGTAAAAAAAAATTGACTACAGGTAATTATCTGCTCAGATATGCATCTCCAACATATTTTTTTTTTACATTTACCTTCAAAATAATTTCATCTTGATACATTCTTAATTGATCTGTTAACAGCAGTAACACAAAACAACGAATTTATTAAAAAATGGCACTTTATTTTTAAAGACTGTGCACAGTGGGTAATTAAAACTTTGGGCATATAATTACCCAGTCTGTGTGATTAGTTAAAACTAGTTCAAACTAGTGTATGTCTGGCACTAAATACATCATGTGGACAACAACAGAAACACTGCCCACATAGCCTATACTTAGTAGCGATATCGTAAAAATCTTTCCAAGGTCAGATTTATAATAATTAGTGTGAATCATTGGAATAATTCTATGAAAATGTGGCCATCATGCTTTCATATCAGTTATATTTTTGTTATTTTGATGTAAATGCAGAGATGTGCATCATTTGGTATTCAAAAGCACAAAGTTTTGAAATCTTAATAAATAAAAAAGTTTCTTTTAAATCTCTGACATAGGAAAGATTTCCAGACATAGTCTATACATACTGATCTATAATAATAAAACATGGTAAAAAGACATTACAAAAATATTATAAAATAAGCATTTAACATCGCAGATCAATTTTTACCATGGTATAATTAGTGAAAAAAATGCATTTTTCTTAGAAGATTCACATTATGTACAAGCTAAATATAGTATAGCATTATTTCAGCACAATTAACAGATGACAGTACTAATTAGATTTGCTATAATGGAATAAAAGAAAAAATATTAATTACCACCAACAAAAACCTAAGTAAGTTGTATGTTAAATAATTATCTCTTCAAAAAAGAAATCACTGGTTAAGGCAATAACAAACAGAAGAAATATGTGGGCCGTCCAAACAAACAAGATTAAACTAGTTGCGGCAAAAGAACTTTCCACACAAATAGCAATGAATTCAAATAGTCATTAGAAAATATTCAAATTTGATAAGAAAAAGTTAAACTAAATTAAAAAAAGAATTATCAATTTTTTTCAAGCCAAGTATTTGTTGGGTTAAATACAAAATAACCCAAAGAAATAATTTGTAACTGAAATGGCAATAATTTTTAAATTGTTATCTAATAAAACAGTGCATAGCAGAGAACCAATTGTCTGGAATCTGCAGAGTAGACATTGATTTATACATAACTGGATAAATGCTTTTATTTCTTTAAACTAGATATCTTCAACATAATGATAGCAATAAAATACACTTCTAAAATGATTAATCTCTTGACAGCACCTCACTTATGCTAGAAATGAGTTACGTCATATTGTCCATACATACTGGAGTAAGATTTTATCTTGTCACAATTTTGTAAACAATAGAATTCTAGTTAAAAATTAAACTGGAAACATTAAGCAAAATGCGCAATTGTTGTATCTTATTTTATAATACTGTTTGAATATATTATCAAAATAATTTAACAAGAAGATAAACTGATCCTGAAAATTCCATTATCCTCGAGGACTTTTTTTCTGTGAGTCAATTGAGCCATTTCCTATTCCAAAACTAGTCGGAAAATCTATCCAGTTTCCAGATAAAAGGTTCGGTACTGTAGTGCTTATTTAATTCAAATATATTTTGATAAGCAAAACTCAATGGGCAATCAAGCTAAAAATAAGTATTCTATTATTAGCTGCAAACTTCGATGATTGTTTAGTAAATAACTGGCTAGTTTTATGGAATGTACAGCAATATTACAATGAAACTTATGATACACATATATAATATGTTTTACAAATGCCAACAAATTGTTAGGAAAGATGATAGGCTTTTTCAAAAGAAAAATATAATGTAATGTGAACACAGCAACCAGTGAATAGAATGTGAAAACTGGAGTCATATTATGATGTAAAGTGCTTTAAAAAGAGAATGCAAAATGCACAACTGTTTCAAAAAAAAATTTTTTTTTAATTATAATTATTACAACAGATAGTTATGTCAAAAATAGGATATTAAAATGAAACATTAAAAATTAGCTTCAGCTATTTAGAGTTGGAAAAATCTAATTGATCATCTCATATTATTTCCTATTATATTTTATAATGTAAAATTTAAAGATTTTTACTAGCAGATTTCTTATAAAGATTCTAAATAATGTGCATTTACAGTGCAATATTACTAAATAAAAAAAAAAAGAAAACACAAATTTTAAAATACATTTTCAAAGAAAGCAAACAAATCAACAAATACAGTGACAGTAAGAGGTAACACAAACTTAGAAACATTGTGTTATAGTTTGACAATATTTTTTTAAGATAATTAGATAAGAGCAACATAGGGGGAATGCAAGCCTTGGCAATTATTTTTCCACATGGTTGACGGACAAATACAAAAGAAAAATAAGTTACTCCAATCAGTTTAAAAGAAATAATAATACGTGTGATATACATGAAGATATTTTTCGAACTCCAAGAATTGGATATTATAAGGCTAATTTAACAGCTACATCTAAAGTCTATTTCATTTTATTGTTTCAAATTATAGTCATAAACTCAACACTGAAAATTCTGCAAACAAATTTAAATTAAAAATTGTAAAGAACAGTAAAAAAAAATTTCCAAGTGTATGTATATTTCAGTCACAAAATTGGCATCTATGCTTGAAGATACATTTTCAAATGCAAAGAAATAAAAATATTTTAATTATCATTATATGAATACTTATTTCACATAGTAGGCAAGTTTCTGCCACAAAAAATTAAGCAGCGTATTTAATTATGTGATTAAATAAATTTTAAATGCATAATAGATTGCAAATTTCACTTTTAAAAAAATAGATTGCAAATAAATCACTTTTAAAAAAATTAAATGTTAAGAATTTTAATTCTTTGATATTATAAAAAGTTAAAACAAGAGCAAAAAACAATTTTTACATGCAGTTCATGAAATTTTAGATTTAAAACCACATTTTAAAAAAAATAAATAATAATATTATGAATAAATATGAAAAATGTTTGAATTTTTTAGATATGCATCTGGCTTTTGCATTAAGACAATTCAGCAACAACTACCCCTGATATATGTATTTATGTACACATATTTATACATAACTACATTTTTTTATATCAAAATTTGCACTAATGAATTAAAAATGCAAAAACAGAATTTCCATTACAAGAAAATGTAAGAAAAACTACATTCATTTTATAATTATCAGTTAAGATAAAAAATAAATTAAAACCTAAAACCAATTTTATTTAACAAAAACTGGGTCAGAGAGAAGAGATATATGAAAAATAAACACATGCTGTCATTATTTATACAGTCAGGACAATAGCCAGCAGAGAGAAAAAAGTACCAGAAATTATTCAGGCACCTCATAAAACATTTGCTCATCACGATTTGTTGTCAAGAATGTTTTTGCAAATTGCAGTTGCTTTATCAGTAAAAAATGGCACATTTTAGTAACACTTTTAAGTAATCTTTGGTTTTCTTTTATCCTGTAGAAAAATCTTTAATGCCAATATGTGGAAATCCTTGGGGAAGAAATCAAGGCAGAGAAGTAGGCTGCCCAGAAAGATGATGAATAATCTGGAACAATTTAAAAACAGTAACATGAAAATCAAAATTTTGATTCAGTGTAGTAAACAATTAAAAGAAAAGTACAATAGTTTGTCTCTTTGAAATCTGTACAATCAACACTTTTAAAATTTTATGCAGATAATGTCCGAAACAAAACCGTTTAAATGAAGAAAGTATTCTCACCAATAATCAATTCAATATTTTAAAAGCAACTTTAGTGGTCAGATAACAAAAGGTAGAAAATCTAAAAGTATGTAAAACATGTGGTAGGTACAATATCAAAAAAGTGTGATTAAAAATAGAATGAAATTTTTCCACCACAGATAAAGTACACTTCAATTCTTTAAAAATTTAATACGCAAATAATTTTTCACATAATTGCAGGGTTGCTACTTAAATAGAAGAATAAAATTCCCTGACTTTTCCAGATTTTAAAAAAACTTACAGTCTAATATCACTGACAATGAGGAAGTTAATATATGCAGTGAATCACAAAAAATTAATGTTTGTAATTTGTAACTAATATCGTAAATTTAATTAAAAATATAACACTGTGTAAAAATTTTTAATAGAAAATTCTATTCATTAGAAATAGCTGGAAAAAGAAATTATGTTTTCATAAAGCAAAATTTTAGTAGTGTAGAAATTCATGTCTTTGGAAAATAAAAGTGTTTAAAACAAAATTATAAGTATTCCAAATTTTTTTATTAAACATAAAATTACTGTTCCAATTAATAGGAATTAAACCCAGTCGAAAGTAAAATAATCAATGATATTTAAGTAAGCTTTAAGGTCTTCAAATCTTGCTGACAGGAGATATATTAAAGAATAAATTAGACTAGAACAGAATGCTTAAAAAAAATAATAAAAAAACTGTCTTACTCTCTATTATAAAATAAAAAATAAATTAAAGATAAACATAGTTGAAAGAGAAAACAAGACAGCAAAAAAATACAGGGGAAAAAAAAGAAAGCGAAAATTATGTAACCATCTTCCATTATCTTTAAAATATGTAGGAAATAAAGAATTATTATATCCTACTAATTACATCAGAATTGGGGGGGGGGACACAAAGCAGAAAAAGGCATGAAACGATGAGCTGTCGAAAAAATTATCCACCAGCAACAAGGATAAACAATAGAATCTATACCAGGGTTGGCTTTTTGCCGGCAGAAACTGGTTATAACCGGTAAAAACTGGCAGAAACTAAAGAAATTTCTATATTAGTTCTTGCTTAATGACATTTTGTTCAAGTAAACTGAAAAATGTAACTGTAACAAACCTTTTATTTCATTGTTTGTAAATATATATTATTTTGTTTATATCAAATATAAAGAGTGCAGTATATCAAATATTTATATAAAATTAAAAAGAACTAAGTAATGTAATAATAAATATTAGATTTTAGTTTATTATATTAAACTCTGAAATTCGGTAATTATTATCACTTAACTCTTTACGTAACTGAATAAAGCTATTTTCAAATAGTTTTTTTTCTTTTCAAGATATAATTAAGACATGACAATCACCCCAGCTGCTACATGGTGGTCCAGTTTTAAAAAATATGCAATAGATGAAAGTTTCACAAATCCTGCTTGTTCCTTGATGGCGATGCCTGCTAGTTCTGCTGGACTTGAGAGAATCTTCTCAAATTTCTCGTCCGTGCATAGCAAATTGAGAAATTGTTTCGGTTTAGAAACTGCATCAAAACTTTGCTTTTATTATAGATTACTGCAGAGTGCAAACAATGTAATATTAGATTTTGAATGGTGATAATTTTGTAAATAAATTGTACTTTGTTTAACATTTAATTGTTTTTTCTATGAATTATCCATTGTATGTCAATCTCAGTACTTACTTTTATGTCATTTTCTGAATTTCTGCCACAAATGTGGCAGAAAAGGGTTTCTGCCATGCCAGTTTTAACCGGTTTCTATCAGTGGCTTTAACCACCTCGGCAGAAACCCAACCTTGATGTATACGAATTGAGCATATTAGTGTGTTATTTGCAAGCCATAACATCATATTCATTTTTTCAGAATTGGGTTAAAAAAATAAATTAAAGAAAAACACCCAGGAAAAGGCACGAAACGATAAACTGACACAAAAATGATCCTCCAGCTATGAAAATTAACAATAGAATCTATACGAAAGAAGCATATTAGTGTGTCAAAAAGTGACTCCTTACATTCGAAATATGTGCTTTTCATAATAATGTCTTGTAAAAAAAATTTAAAGAAAAGCAAGTGGAAATGGCTGAAAATTATGTGTGATCATTCAAATTCGAAACTCACGTGTCATAACATAATCAGAGTTTGAAAACAAACACGAGCAAAGGGTTGAAAAAATGATAATTCAATGACGTGAAGTTAGAATGGAATTGTATAAAAAATATTGGAATCATGTGAAAAGGCTCATAAAATGATGAACAAAAGGAGGACAATTTTAGATATAAAGAGGTGGAGAAATATCATCCCTATGTAATGTCTAAAATTAAATTGTTCTTTCAAAAAAAGGAGCAGAATTTAAAGCAGACAAATCTTAAACAAAAATTATATAAAGATAAGAAAAGTTAACATTCCTACACTCATTACCACAGACATTCACTGATACTTAATAAGAGAAACAAAAAGAATGATGAATATTAAGGAATGAATTCATCTGCACTTCATTTTTGTCAAGCATTTGATTGAAGAATTGGAAGAAAAAAAATACTTTTGAAGCAGGTGAGAGTTATGCATTTAAAATAATGCTTACTCTTTACTTTTCCTACCAAAGTCTAAAAAATTACAAACAAAAGAAAATGACACAATAAAAAGAATTTTTTCTGATTTACAATTGACACTCATTTGTTTACATTGTACAAATCTTATTATATATTTCAGAGTTTACCTTATTTAAACTCTAAACGTAGCGAGATCTATACATTATATTATAACAGATTATCTAAAAAATATCTTTCCTAAATTTTAAGGATTCGAGCATCGATACTGAGTTGGAGAAAAAAACACAATTCAAAATATGAATGTTGCCTGCGTTAATTCTAAATTATTTTTATTTTGAGAAATAAGAAAACTCTTAAGAAAAACTATTATAGAGTTAAGAGAGTTTCATAAAAAAAAATATATATATTCATATTCTGGTAAAATAAAACTTAAAAAGTGTACCGATTGCTGAGTTGGAGGACACATGAGTGCATAAGGCTCAGTCATATTCGGCATACCGACTCCTACGGGAAGTCCTTTGGGCATTTCCTCATTCTTCTCATCTTCTCTTCGTTTAAGGCATGCTGCTTTAGGATTTAAATTTCTCTCTAAAAATAAAAAGACACATTTGCAAAACATTTACAATTTAAAAAATAAAAAGTATACAATCTAAACAAAACACAATTCTATAAACTAAAATTCTCCATAAGCCACATTAACCTTGTGGATGAAAACAATAAAAAATTCAGGGTGTTTAGCAAATATTTCAACAAAAAATAAGCACTTATTAAGCACATTAAAAAATATAATTAGGAAATTTTTACACCAATAAATTTTTTTTTCCGTCTTATTGATGAAAGTTCTTCATATATACATCATACCTGCCAACATGGGAGAATTAAAATAAAAGATTTTACTAACGACATTTTTTAGACTATGTGTAAAGTTTTGATACATCATACATAATCATGTAAGTAAAAAAGAAAAATTCAAAATCGGAAATAATATAAGCATTTTACAGTTAGCGAAGTAAAAAATACATATATAAATCTTAATCTTTTTAGATTAAGATATGGTATTTTTAAATTATTATTTATAATTACTTAAACTCTTAACACTCAACATACTCCAGTGCTGGCTATAGCACTATCTGTTGAGGAATAAGAGCAGAATTTTTGCCATCAGCCAATATTTTATCGCCATTTTTTTTCTTTTAATTTCACCAAATACATGGAAATTTCAGAATATAAGGGTAAACAGGAGAGAGTGGTAAAATACAGTAGACTTGACAGGTATGTGTACATTAACAAAATGAAAGATAATTTTCAAAGACTTCACATGATCATGATAAAATACTAGTTTCTGACAAAGAACTCTTTTCGTGATTATCTTAGCCACCATGAAAAAATTTTTATGCAATTTTAAATATATTCAATATTGAGTGGCTTATTCTATTATTAAAATTAATTATTACTTTATATAATAAAGTTAAAAAAATTTTTATTGAAAATTATAATCAATTTAACTAATTATTTAAAAAGGTTATTGATCGTATTTTTTAGATTTATAAGAACATGTTCAACAAAACATTAACAACATTAATATTATTGATCGTAGCAATCCAATGAATCAATTAAACTAAGATAACCTTTTTTAAACATTTTTTTACTTTGTTCAATATTTCCTTATTGAAATTATTAAAAAAAAATTTATAACTTAAAATGTAAATACAATAGATATTGAAGTTTAACATTTTTGTCGAAAGTATATTATTAAAGGGTGTCTCAACACTCATAATATTTAACAAATATGAAATAATTCAATTCTAATCTCAATTGTTTTTAAATCAAATCATTAATCAAAGTTTTTGGGAATGACAGATCTGAACAAAAGAATATTTGCAACATTTAAAATAGCCGCTCACTTCATGCCTTTTTAAAATCTTGCCTCTTAATTATTATTAAGTTTTTTTCATCAAACAAATTAAGAGTTGTTTAATTAACTAGTTTCATAAATTAATTAATGAATTAAACTGAAAATTTTCTAAGTAATAATAGAATAATAAAAAGTAAGATGTTAAAAAAATAATAAAGTACAATAAAGGCTTGAAAGTTTTTTTATGCAATAATGGATGGTCCTGTAGATAAAAAAATACAACGATTAAAAACCTCAATAACATATTATATTTATTAAACTAAATGAATAAAAGGGAGATGGAAATTTTGAAGTGATGAATCTTAGTGATTTTTAACTGCTCTTGGAATCCACATGAAAATATATAACTTGTGAATGATCCTCAAGTCAATTTCAAGGATGTGGTACTAATCTATAATTAGAAGAGCGACTTTCCAGTGACGAAGACGATAGCGCTAATTAACAAGGGAAATGAAATTTTCTTTTGCCATCAGGGAAAAAAAATTAGAAATGTTTAGTTGGTCCCCGTGATCAGCAAAAATTCGAGAGATTTTTTGTGAAGATCGAGAGCAGAAAACGAAGCCTGAAAATGCAAAATGCAGCAGTTTTACACGAGAGTGCAAGAATCCTTTCCACTGAATCTAGCTCAGCATACACACATGCAGACCCGCAAGTTTTTAATCTAACATGTAAAATGATTGGCACCTTCATATGCTACGGAATGACAATACATCAAAATTGATTGTGGGGGAATAAATTGTAAAAACCACCATTTTTGCTTAATTCGTGGCAAAAATCGACATCGCTAAGAAAAAATACCTACTTTTGGAAAAGGGAAAATTAAGCTTTCCTAAAATTACTTTTAAAAAACACGCAATGAAAAAAGCACATTTAATTTCTTTTAAAAAACGAAAATAAGCACCTTTAAGCGTTTTTTAAAAATGCTACGCACTCTGAAATTCCTATAACTAAGCTAGAAATATTAACTTTTTGCATTATTTGTATAATTTACTACAAGATTACAATTTCAACAGTTAAGCAAATCACAATTGATACATTAGTTTTGATATTAGTTCTAATGCTTTAGAAAATTTTACGTTTTTTTTTCCTGCAAATAATAAACACTCGAGTGCATTTTAAGAGTACTCTGTTCCAGACTAATATTGCTATATTTATTAGGTAAGTTTAGACGATCTGTGTAACCTAAAAATCTATAAAATACAAAAGCCTTCAAGTTATCTACTACAGAACATCCTCATCTTTAGAGCATTGAGTCCTTCAGCCTCCTGCAAGATTACAACACAGCAATATTGTCGCAACAGAGAGTTCATACATAAAAGATCTTTCATTTGGAAAGCACAAAACATTGTGTTGTTTCTATTGCCTTCTTGGGAAACCAATTGAATTTAAGGAAGAAGGTGCTTGTTTTCCAGTGGCAGCATCTATGGCCAAGAAGAGGATTTCAGCCACGCCACAGCCGCATTCAAACTTCCACAGATCATAATTTTGACCTGAACCAGAATGCAATCAATCTCCAATTCAGTTCACCCAAAGGTATTGGTTTGTTATGGGAACTTGAAGGACTTTGTGATCCCGACAGATTTTACGTGCACCAATAACTATTTAAGAAACAGGGTTTCCTCAGATGGCAGTATATGAACGTCCTACTAATCAGCCTTTCTTGGCCTGCTAAAAATTGCTTTCTCCTCGAACATAAATTGTTCTGCAAGAAACTTCAGCAGAATTTCCTGAAAAATGACTTTTTGCTCTGCAGAATTGTTTTCGAAACATTGAACCTTTCTCGCAAACAGAAGGTTCAAGAAATGCTTGTGATCCTCCTTAACGTTCGACAGCGATCGATCCATTTGCTGTACAGTTTTTCATTGATAATAAGATTCTGAATTAAATAGTAAACAATATGAATACAGAAGCCAATCATTTGCAATGTCTCAACTAACTAGGAATAATATTTTATATTATGTAACGTTCAAATTTCATATTTATTTTTCAGCAAATGACTTATTTTAAGGATTTTCAGTTAAAAAGATTATTCTCCATAAAAATGTTTACCTAAGTTATATGATTAAAAATAAAGTTTACACACAGCATTATTCTATATTTTGGCCTTTTTCTTAATAAACACAAGGCATTTTTATAATTGAAAATTGGCCACAGATACTTTTATTATTATTAAAAATACCTCACAGAAAGATATAAGTGCCAACGAGATTTGTCGCAGAAAGCCAAAAAAAATTATGCCACAGGGTCTTTCAGATTATTTTTAAAAAAGAATTTAAACAAAGAAGAAAAATTTTTGAACCAAAACACTAAAGCTTTATTAAAAGCACAATAAAAGAAAATACCTCTAACTTGGTTCTCCAATGTTGTGATAACTTCAACAGCTGAGTAAAGAATATTGAGTTTAGTCTGAGTGCCTCTATCTGCACTTTTCACATGTGAACTACACATTTTTCCCAGTTCTTTGAATGCTTCATTTATGTCACGAACACGTATCCTGCAAACATTGAACCACATATTAAAGTAAAATATTTGATAACTGCTAAAATGATTCAAACTCAAAACATTGTTCTTACCTTTCTCTTGCATTATTTGCCTGTCTTCTTTCCTTTTCCTTTTCAGCTTTGATTTCTGGGGGATCATCATTGTCTTCATCATCCAATGATCTAAAAAGCATACAAGGTACACATAGTAAATAATTTTGTTAATACTTACAACTTTAATCAATAAATTCCACAAGCATGTAATTCAGATTAAGAAATTTCTCTAATGACTGCAATATAACTATTTTTGAAAAATTATAATACTTTATTTTCCATCATCATTATGCAAAGTGTAAGAATGTGTTGCATCTCTAAAACAGACTGAAACATCACAATGAAAATTTTTTTTTTCTTCTTTGAAGCTCACTCACTTTATTTACCTTACAGAATTAATTGATAGTCTCTCAGTGCATAGCTCTTCAGTGCTCATACCTCTTCAATGACTCGAGTTTTAGCAACAATAGACTGAAACCTTGTGCATAAAACGACCAACAGAGAAGTATACAGGGAATTATAGAACATTTTTATTTTTCAAAGTTGCTATTTCATATTGTTCAAACTAATAATTTTTTTAACCACGAAACAAGTCAAATGACTTTTTTTAGTGTTGTATTTAGTAGGACTTATACTAATTATCACAAAAAATGTAAAGCAATGCTATTTGATGCAACCAGATTTAACAAGGCTATTTTATTAGCATTGCTGTATTTTTTTATAAGTTTCCTTGTAATTTAAATTTTGAAACTGAGTGAAAATCTCCCATGTCCAACATGTCAACAGTAAAAGAAAAAAAAAAAAGGTTTTTTTGCTTAAATTTAAGTTAATACAATTTCAGTTCAAAAATTTTATTTAGATTGTTTTAATAAATATAATAAACACTTCATCATACTTTTTTGCAGAAAAAATTAAAAATATAAAAGAAATGAAATCAAAGAAGTGTTTCTATATATGTAATTATATAAAATATATATAACAATTGAAGCAAACTTTTAAAATTGCCAAACTCATTTGAAAATTTGTTAATGTTACAATTGAAAAAAATACAATGTTTAAAAACAAAATTAAAATATTTTGATAAAATTTAGTTAAATATTTTTACTGAAAAAATCCATTTAACTTTAAGTAAAGTAGATCCTCTTTGTCATGAAAGATGTTTCTTGTACATCAAGAACATACCTGGAACGGGCTCTTTTTGTTCCTCTGGATTGTGATGCTGCTTTTCTAGATGCGGTACTGCTAGAAGATGATACCACAGCAACAGGTGCAGGAATGGTAGGAAGTTGATCATGAACTTGAAGTGGTGCCTGAAGAGGTGAAACCTTAGCAATTGGTAATTCTTCCATCTTTACACTTCCACAAGAGTTCAAAGGAGCTATTATGAAAACAACATTGTTCAGCATAAAAAATATAGCGAAAAAATTTTGATATTTAGAGGTCAACAAAATAAATCACCAGAAATTTTTTAGAATCTTCATGGTTTGATAGTTTTATTTTTCAACAAATAATTTTCAATCAGTTTTTTGTTTTTTTTTTTTTACAAAAGAGTTAACTTTTTATTTATTTCTTTTTGTTTATAGAAGATAAGAGTAAAAATTATAAAAATTAACATGAGAAAAATTATACAATTTTCTTTTCTCATCAGCAATTTAAAGAATAAACATTGAAACATCACATGCAATATTCTCTCACTTCTAAAAATATTACACATTCCAATCTTTTCGCAATTCGTGACTCCTCATTGCATTTTCAAAAAAAATAATATTTTATAAACGTAAGATATGTGGCAATAACTGTATAAAAAAGACAAAATCGTGTAGATTTATGATGAAATTCCCCAAATTAAAAGGAAATAATTAAATGCACATTTTGAGAATTCCAGTTGCAACAAAAAAGGTTGGGTATTCAGAGGGGAACCTGAAAATCAGTAACAATAACTGCTCAAAAATTATCGCTTTGAATAGTAAAAACTCAGATGTGCAATTTGCAGTTTCATAATATGTGGAATATATCAGAATTTTAAAAAATAATGTGGTCTGGCCAGAAAAAACATCAAAACACCACATGGATTCAGCACAAATCGAGTGTGCTCAAATTACTTAAATGCTAGAATCGTACATCCTGCCTCCTAATAGAATTGGGATTTTTAAGATCATGAGAAAATCATTAGTAATAACTGTGAAACATTACCTGTTTTCTAGGCCTGTTGTAAGTTTATATAGACCAACTTGTTTGTATTACACTTGCTCTAACTGTTAAGTTAATACAACCCTCTCTGTTTACAACCCAACCAGTTTTCTCTGTTCATGTTGTGAGCTTGGTTAAATATTTGGTTCTAATGATTGTTTAAATTTAATGCTTAGTAATCTGCACCTCAATTTTATAATGTATAAAAAAAAAAAATTATCTTCTCGTCGGATATTTCATTGTTAGAAAAAACCTTATGCCAATTTTGAAATGCTTATAATAATGAATTCCCTCGATTTCTTACAAAAACTCACAGAACTTTTTTTTAAAATTATAAACTTTTGACGCAAAAATTCCCGTGGCTGATTATAGCAATCACAAAGAGATCCAACATAATGCTCAAAAATCTAATTTTACTCAAAAAAAAATTTTTTTTTATTAATGACAAGAACTGCAAAGTAGTATTAACAAAACAGAACACTGGTGGTACAAGCCACAACGATTACCTTTTCATGTCAAAATTTAATCGTCATAGAAGTGATTGTTTTAAAAAGAAAAAACCTGGAAACACCAATTAGTATAGAAAAAATATTTCTTTAATGAGAAAAAGCTTCAAATAAGTCTTACCAAAGCTCTGTCGAGTTGGCACTGCTTGGTTTGGTACTCCCATAACTGCCTTTTGCCCATCAGATATACCATTCTGTGGCTAAGAGAATATAATAAAAATAATTAATATAAGGAAAAAACTACAATAGACTGAGAATGTATATTCAACTAAAGATTTAATTCTTGGAATAAAATTTCATATGCACGCTTTCATTCTTGATATTTTTACAGATAATTGTATACAAGAGTAAGATAATTGCAATTCATAAAATGTGAGAATATTTTAACATTTTAATTTCTTACAATTATATACATAGATAAATTAGAGCAGTTTCACCATTTACGAATACCATACTTACAGACTTTAAAAAGATATAACTCAATTAAAAAAATTAAAGCAGTTCTAATAATTTTTGTGTAAGTAAGACTCGGTGACATTTACACTTGCTTTAGTAACTTATAAAAGTTTAAAATATTTTAGAAATGGTCGTTTTAAACAATAAATAAGATATATTCAATTCGAAGAAAAATACTTAACACCCATATGCTTCTAAAGGATCATGAGGGGGTGAAGATGTCGTGCCACGGTTTCATACATAAAATAAAATTCATTTGTTACAATCATACAGTCCACTGCTGCAGTCATTTGCATACACATATAAAACCCCTCCAGACATAATACAACATGTATTTAGTATCTAATTTGTAAAAAATTATTAATTTTCTAAAAGTTTTTCAAATTTGGAGAACCAAGATTATTATAATGTGACATTATATAAATGACTCACCATTTGATTCATGTGAAAGATACTAGAAGAGGATTCTACACCGACTGACTGATTTTTTGAAACCAAAGTGGAATGTAGAGGTTGGAGGGATGCCAGAGTACTCCCTCCCCCAGCATGATTTCTCAAAACATTAATGGCATCATCTATTCTTTCTTCAGTTATTCCACCTCCTTGGAGATTCTATTTATTCAAATAAGGAGTATTTTAATAATTCGATAAATACTACTTTTGCAAAAAAAAATTTCATCATAGATTGGCTTCAAGAGTTGAAACCACAGTTAAAATATATAAGGAAATTATGACAATTAATTGGCTGAGAAACATGCATAAGTAATTATGTATTTTTAATTCAGGTGACTCCTTAGAGACAACTTTACTTTTATCTTTCTAAAAATTAAGAAATCATTTTTATTTTTAATTAAGTCCTATTTTTAAATAAAATAAAGGTTCATTCCACTGAGAAATCTAGATAGTACTGTAATATATCTCAGGTGCAGAAAATTTTCTGGAATTTATTTATCACTTCATAAAAATAATAATGTGATAAAATTTCACAAATCATTGACTTCATCACTTGCACTTCACTCTGATTAGCTGATGTTTTGATTTTTATGCAATATATACCCAAGATATGCTAATTAAGTATTGCTGAAAATAAAAGAAAACAAATATAAAAATGCAAATTTGTAAATTTAAAAAAAAAAAAAAACAAATTATTTTAAGACAGGATTGTTTTTATCTTTTAAAATATAGAATCAACGGCATGAGCAGAGGAGTAGAAAAAATATAAGAGGGTGAATGTTCTTCCGAGCATGAGTCTAATTTTTAAAAAAAATTATATTTAATTTTATAATCAAGAAAAAAATATAAGAATAAAAATATATATATATAATAAACATTTAATTATTGAGAATATTGTTGATTTTTATGTTTGCATAAATTGTAGACAAAGTATATCAAAAATGGACTACCGTTTTCAAGTTTTTTTACGCTGGCAAATAACAATTTTTCTAAATTGTACTTGAAATGACAGTGGAGGAAAAAAAAGAAAGAAAGAAAAAATCTTTAATTCAATTCATTTTAAAAAATACACTTAATAATTAGAACAAATAAATTATTACCACTGTATTAGTTAACTCTGTGTACGTGGAAGATTGAGATGTAAATTGGTGGTTTGATCGCTGCCAGTTGGGAAGAGCTAAAAAAAAGAACATGAAACTTTAATTATTGGAAAATCTAAATAATTATTGAATAAGCTTACAAATAAAGGTACGCATAAACTTTAAAATGAATTCAAAAATGCATGATTTTAGCACATTTTGAAACAGTGCGAAAGATTTTTTGCAATGTGGAGAATTGACTCGAATCGTAAAATCCCTTCCTTGATTTCCAAATCTTTTGATCATTAACAGTGGAAACTGGATAAAAATAATACAGGAAATGAAAGACAGGTAATAATCATGAAAAATAGAGGAGAACCCTCTCTTACTTACAAAAAAGTCGCAATAATAATAAAAGGTGCTTCCAAGGTATAAACTTAAGTAATTCCAAGTACTCCTAAGAGACTTATGTATAAGGACATCCTGATAATATTGGAGCAGTGATGTGTATTAGGCAGTTTTTAAAAAGTCACAAGGTCAAACTGATATTTCAAAACAAAGGGTTTAAAAAATTTAAATTATTTAAGCTCGTGAAATTTAGAAGCAGCTTCGAACAAAATACAAACAGTACAAAAGGAAAAAAAATCAAATTTTGAAAAGGAAAATTGTATATAACTTTATGAATGCTGGATCTGATAGCAACTTCATGATTTTCCGAAAATTACTAGTGATTACTAGTCTCTAAACATGGTCAGAAACTCATATATTATGCTAAAATGTAAACAAATTAAGCAGGTAAGATAATAAGCGATGGAATAATGTAAAAAGAAACTCTTTTTAATACAATAATAATAAAAAAAAAAGGGTGATTTTAATCCCTTTACTGTATTCAGAGTAATAGCAATGGAAAAAAAGATTTAAATGTAACCAACATGCATTATTAATATATCACAATGATTGAAAATAAGTGTGCTCCAAAAAAAATGATTTTTTTTTTAAATATGACAATGTTGATAGATTATTTCACATACTATGTTAAGAAAGAATAAGAAATGCTAATTCTTTTTTTCAACTACCTGCTTCACTTTCTTTTCTCTGTATCTTTCATTTTTAAGCAATTTTTATATTTATGAATTTTATATTCATACAAATGCTACGACTGTCACAAAAGTAATAGTACAGTACAGTTTTTCAGAAATAGAAATTAGTTTTGGAAGTAACATTAATATTTAAAATGCAATTGTTGTGATATAAAATATATTTTATTGTATGAATACAATTTGAGGGCGATGATGGGTATAATCAATAATAAGAAACTCCAAAAGCCCCACACAATATGAGACAAATCAAGAAATTTTTTTAATTTTATTATCGGTTTAAATTCTTTAAAGTTCAAAACAAGAAAAAGATATAAAACAAATAATCCTTTTGCAGGCATAGGGAAATTTTTTTTCTTGTGTGTGAAAATTTAACACCATTTTGAAGAACTATTATTGAAGAACTATTTTAACATACACAGAAAACAGGAAAAATCTCCTTGAAAAACACATAACATTTGGGGGAATGAAAATCATTTTTAAAATAGGTGAAATGTTGGGTATTTCAAAACTATCTCTTCAAGTCAGACTATAAGTTATGTTTATAAGAGGAAAAAGCAATTAACAAGAAAAAAATCATTTCTTTCCCCCTACTTGATCAACATAAATAGTCTGCAAAATCTCAGCAATGTTGAGCTTTTCTTTTAATTAAAATAATAAAATGCATCATATTCTGAAATACTGGATTTCATTCATCTAACCTCAAATGACTTCAAAATATTTTTAGCTGCAACAAACATATATTTAAGAATGGTAAAAGCAATTTTTTTTTAATCAAAAGAAAGATAGAGAGACTCACGAGTCAAAGGCGGTGGAGAGCTAATAGGAGTTGATGGTGCTGATGAAAAGCTACTGTTTGTCTGTTCAGTTGTACATGTCTACAAATAAACAAAAGATACATATAAGTTAAAAACACAGAGAAAACATGGAAAATAATTAAGATTAATGAAAAGAGAAGAAAAATTATTAAAATAAAATATTTAAAAAAAAATATATATTAATATTAAGAAGCCAGAAAACAAACAAAATAAATATAAGATATCTCTTTATCAGCTCTAACGATCATATACACAAAAAGGAGTGCTTATAAATAAAACTTGGTATTTTTCTAATTTTTCTTTTTTATAATTTTTGTCCTTATTGTGATATATATAATGATCATGTTCTAAAATTGAGAGACATCATTTAAGAATAGTTAAATTGAGACTACCAATATAAAACTAGTTATAAATTTTGTTCTAAACCTGTACAAGTGGTTTAATATTATATACACAGTTGTTTAAAACAAACTATACCTCAAAAAATTATTGTGTCATGTGAGAACATTAATACTAAAGTTACTTATATTAAATGTCTATTAAACCTTTACAATATAAAGACATAAATAGAAAATGTATATACCAAATCGGAAGGTAAATATGAGGTTTGGAATTCTTGAGGAGGTGGTGGTGCAGCATGAGCAGATGAGTTTGATATTAATGATGTAGAATAATTATAATCTGGAGAATTGAGACTTGCATTGGAAGACCAAGTATCAGGAACACTCTCTAAAAAAGACAATTTGATTATTCAGTATATAGGAGACTCAATAACTACTGCTTTTGAATGCTGAGGATCGCATTCTCTTATAAAATGCAAGTTTAAATGTAGTGTCTTCCATAAGATGCATGAAGTTTTAATAGCATCATAAGTTATTATTATGCTTATTACAACAGAAATCAAACAGTTGTTACAAACTACGTCTGACAAAAAAGTTAAAGAATATATAGGTTATCTAAAAGTTAATGAACACTATAAAGGATATCAGTTCAATACAGCATCATAAAATAATGACAATAAACATTAAATAGCTCATAAATGAGACAAAGGTTGCTGATAATTGTAAATAATTCTTAAAATTGAAATGCCGTTTAGGCGAAAAAGCATTTTTATGCTTAAAATTAGGCAGTAGCTATTACACTGATCTTTGGTAAATTATCTCAATCGCTATTTTTTTCCCACTTCGGAAAAAAAAGCCAGTTTACAGGAACTAATCAAGAGTATGTGTTCAGTTCAGTTGCAATAACGTTATTGAACCAAATCCTGTGGTAATGTTATTCAGGCAATTCAAACTGTCAGTGTAATCTTAAATAGTTATCAGTGAAGGGTACACCAGGCAACAGCACTAAACCCTAACAAAAACAAAAAAAAAGAATATCAGTCTAGAGCAGGGGTTTCCAACTTACATGAAGCCGGCAGCCACAATTAAAAAGACAAATTAAATGGCGGGCCGCAACTTTATCAAAATTTTATTTAGGACTCTTTTATGTTTGAGGGAACATTAAATATTACTGTCAGATTTTTACCAAGTTGTACAAAACAAAAGTATTGAATTACAAATTAAAATAAGAAGTAGATTTTTAAAAATATTTAATTGTATAATTAAAAATTCAGGCTACAATAACTTTAATGTGCACCCATGTATTAAACAATTAATGTGCAACAGATATCTAATTGTTAAGATATAAAACTTTAAAAAGGTTGATATTAAAACTTACATAGTAGCATTCAAAATGTTCAATGACAAAATTGAGGTTTATCTGCCGCAACCACCAGAGAATAGATATTTACATTTTAAATTTACAAATGTGTGTGTAAATATTTTCGTCCAAAATGAATGGTTTCAAAAAGTTAAATCGGAGAATTTCTTTGAGAAATTCCTGATACGCACATGCTAAATTATATTCACAAAATACAAAAAAATGAAATAAAGAAAAGAGCAATATGCACGATTATTTTTGTATTTGAATAAATATTTTCCTGGATGCAAAACCTGAGAAATAATTATTTTTGCTCTGTTGGTATGATAAATTTCACAGAAACGAAGAAATGAGATCTTTATTAACGAGAAAAGTACTTTTAACCCATATAGATTTTTTACGAAAATTGTCCACAAAAAAATGACAACTAATATATTTCAGTTACGGCCCGCAGGCCGCCAGTTGGAAACCACTGGTCTAGAGTAACAACTCAAAAGTCTTTTGAGAGCCTTCCCATTCCCTATCTACTGTTCTTCCAGAAATTGACTTCCAGTCAACTGGATCTTTTCATTTTTGGTCTTTTGTTGAAGGGGATCATACTAAAACTCTCTGTCTGGTAAAGTGACTTTCAACCTTAAAAAAAAAAAATTTAATTTTTTAAAAAAAACATCAGTGTACGGTATCTTAATTCAGAGTTAGATCTTTCTAATTCCTCATAAGAAGAAAAATGTAATCCCACAGAAATCCAGCCAGCGATTAGAATCAAAACAAAATATAAATAGGTAAACGTCACATTGACAGAACTTAACACTGCAACAGAACAAAATTCACTTTGATGCAGTAGCAAAAGGAATCGACTCGTAGGTAAAAGTCGACACTCGGTAAAATGACCCGCAACGGCTAAATATAATACTATTTCATTAATTTTGGATACATATATTCACTTCACGTATTCTAGTACGTATTTTCACTTCAGAACTTAAAATATGAGCTTAGCAAGATTTGATTGAGTAATACATTTTTGAGGCTTTCTTTCGTCTGCTTCAATTATTTTAAAAACTTTATAACGATGTTGTTTCGATGAGAATACATTTAAAAACTAGATAAACACATTTATTTTTCCCTCCCCAATATTACATTCCAATAACTTAATATAGGGGGGATAGAAAATACCGTAAAATGATTCCAAAATAGTGCTGTCTAAGGTAAAACACCTTGAAAACCAATGAAGCTGTTTAAAAGTATTAAGAAAAGTTTAATCAGCAACAATGGATTTTCACAATGAAATATCGTATTTTCCATTACATGACGCCAGAAAGCGATGAACGTTTATAAAAAATGTGGCTCCAAAAAAACGTGGAGGTTCCAGAAAAGGACAAAATTCATATGAATATGTTATCGAGTTATTGACGAACATGCATATAGACTCACGCTTCTATACACAGAGAGATGCAAGTTTAATATATTAGATACAATTTATAAATTGTTATTAAAGGAATAAATCAAAAGTGATTATAAATGAGTAAGAAACCATACCATTCATGTAATAACCACCATCATCATACATAACAGGTTTGGCCAATGAATATGGGGGGCTGGGTCTGTCAAAATTATCAGAGCCATAAGCCTAAAAAAAGAATTTTCCATTAAATAACGTTAATGAAAAATATACATATGTAATTAAATTTTTTAAAAAAAACTAACTTCTTTTAACTCAATTAAAACAACGTTTTATAACAATAAAAAATCAGCAACGTCCAAACTAAAAATGTCCCAAATAAATGCCAACTGTGTAACTATGAAAATTAAAATTAACAATTTTATAAAAAAATAAATAAATAAAAAAATAGCGACGATCACAACTTTGGCAATACTTAAAAGAAACAAAATTATGTTGATTCCATAGAAAAGTAGTCACTATTAGTTCCATAGAAACGTAGTTTTATTATTGTAAGAAGTAAACATGAGAATTTGATTGCTTGCAGCTACACCATCTCCACAAATATCGTTCAACCAAAATTCACAAAGATTGCATTTCAGTTTCAATTGGATGAGTAAGGACTTCATTAAAAAAAAAAAAAAAACTTCATACGCTAAAAATAAATTATTCATACGAAATTTTTTTTTTCCCAAAGAAAAAGTGCTTTATATTTTATTTACACATTTTACCATACATAATAATTATTGACATTAAAAATGATACCAAAAATAATTTTGACAAAAATGAGCGATGAATAAAAAATTCATTTATATGAAAATTTAGATAACTAAGTTAATATGGCGTTTTTAAATACTAGTGAAAAACTAAACACTAGAGTTAACAGCTCAGTTCATAAAACAAAGAGTGTATGAGCAAGTAAGGAGATAAAAATATTACTAATAGTTAAAATAAATTTCCTGATCCATTAAATGATTTATGTATTACAAATATCAAAATATAACAATAAAAACGTCACATCTAAATAAAATGAACCCTCTAAAGTGTAACCTCTAAAGTGTAACCTCTAAATTGGAAGAAAAATAAAGTTTTAGTTAAACTTTTCTTGGAAGGACTTTAAGAAACAACTCATTCAGAAAATGAGCAGGTGTCTGTTAGGAATTTGGTAGGGTACAAGTCTAGAGCAAAATAAATAGTCGGATCTTTTAAAAGGGAAACGCGAAAAGAATCAAAACAAAGTCTCTCCCCCACCCCCTCCCAATAATCTAGAGAGGAACATTTTTTTGAAACTTTCATATTGGAAAGAGGGAATGACACAAGAAGTTTCTAAATAACAATTTTTAAAATTGGTAAGATTCGGAAATACGTTTTATTATTCAATTTCATTCGAAATATAGCAATTTACAACTATGAAAAGAGAAGTTTTTTTTTTAAAAAAAATATTGGTTAAAAGCGGATAAAATAAGTTAATAAAAGTAAGTCAGTTTTTACAATGAGAGAATGACTGGGTAGATACCTAAACAAGATTTTTTTGAAAAGGTATGTTTTAATTATTTACGCTGGTAAAATTTTGGATCGGTAAATAGGGATGCTAATTTTTTAGTTTGACAAACACAGAAATATCTGAAAAATAAAGGAAAAACAGTGGACTTATATGTCCGAGATATAAGTTCAGTAATATTAACGCTGATTGGGGGGGGGGAATAGCAAACTATATAAAAATTCGGAAAAATTGAAATATTCCGATAATAAAAGATTTAGCTTAAAAGGACGCCATAACGCGAAAAAAACTTTCTGTCGTAAATTCTCTTTTACCTTCATAACTAATTTAAAATTTAAAGTATAGAAATAATGAGTTCAGACAAGCCTAGAATAAGATATGAAATATTGAAAATAAATTTTAAAATTATCAAAAGGAAAATAAATTTTGAGAAGATAACTGAGGATGACGCAATGGAGAAGTTCTCTTCCTTTTCTTTTCTGTAATTGAAACTTCATGGCTTACTCTTACGTTTTCTCACTTTTTTCTTTCTTTTAAATGAGTAATGCAGATGAAAATGAATTTGCGACGAAAAGTTTTTCCCGTGGTATGGCGTCCTCTTAACAACGTCCCCCCTTAAGCTTTCACAATAGTAGTAGTCTTCATGTTCAAATTAATTGTTGTATTTTTCTTTCCTCTGCAGATTTTATCTCCATAATGTAAAAAAAGGGGAGAGATGCATAAAACGGGCAATATTATCGATGATACGGAGTAATAATAGCATTCTGTTTCATGTATCTTAAATTAAAAGATCTTGAATCCACCTTCATGTAAATATACATTGAAAGCAGAAAATATGAATGTTTTTTTATAAATCGCTAAAAAGCCTTAGGAGGCATCGCATTCGGCTTTTTAAAACGATACATTTGAAATTTCAACACTATTCGATAGAATAATTGGAAGAAAAAAACACTATTTTTAATATGAAAATAAAATATTTGACTTGGGGAATTTGGCAAAATATTCTGTAAAGAACACAGTGTCAAAAATGAAGAGCGTATCCAATAAAAACAATTACATTAATACTCGAGCTTTTATTAGCTTCTTTTTAAGATGGTATGTTGACATAACTTCTCAGCAAAAATTCTAAGCTATCTTTAAAACTCTGCGTTAAGTAATTTCTCCTTTTTTTTTTTTTTAAACTTTCAGTTGCAGACTTTTCAAACAATTATTGCTTTTTTGTTTTTTTCTACTGGGAGAAAGAGCAGATTTATACACGAAGAGAAAGGGACTCATTAATTAAACATCATCGGAACAACCTCTTTTTGACGTGTCGCCCCGGCATAGCTTTGGAATCCGGGGCGTTTTTAGCGCAATGAGCCGTTATTTCCTGAGTGAATTCGGTCGGAAGTTAAAGATGATGACACTTGTTACGTGGGGCATGGGCGCGTATTAATTTCGGACTCGTCTGCTTAAGATGACACGTTGTTCTATCCTTTTTGTTTCGAATTTGTTACACAGTCGCCATTCGAGTCCTTTATTTAGGCCGCGCAAGTATATTAATGAATTTCGAATTGAAGTCTTGATCAAAAAAAAAATGGATCGAATGCTTCATCCATTTTTTAAGCTTGAAAGCAATTATCGGAGTCAAAAAGTTTATAAATGGAATCAGCAAAGAAATAGTGTTTCATAAAAGGAAAGACTTCCCTTTAAAAAAAAGAAAATGGGTATAATATTATATTTTAAAGCTGTTAAGGGGACACGGGACCTTTCAAATGAAAATTTATGAAAACTTGTTTTTTAATTTAATTATACTATTATGAACATAATTTATTTATTTTTTAGCATATTTTAGGAATAGTAAAAACAATTTTGGTCAAAATTTTTTTTTAAATTTAATAAAATATGTAAATTTTAAAAAATACAAAAATTGTCCCTTGTGTCTGAAATTTCATCCAAATAATTTAAAAAATTTTCTATAGATAGATAATGATGATATAAAGACTCTCTAGCATCAGTTATTGTTTCACTTCAACAGGTTTTGAGAAGAAAAAAAAATTTTAGTTCCGACGCTTTTTTTTCGAAAATTTTCATTTCCTCCTACAGTTAAAGTTGTATAAAAAACTTTATAATTAATATTTCGTGAAAACAATGCTACATTGTCTTTATAACAGTCATATGAAGCATATGAAAAATTTTCATTCAAAACTTTCAATTATTCAGACACAAGGGACAAATTATAGATGTAAATTATGCAAAAAAAAGTTAACGGAGAAAAACTACTTTTTTTGTGTAAATTAACTAAAACTCACTGTAATAGCTATAATATCATGCTTAAAATATAAAAAGAACTTCCGATGTATTCTTAATATAATAAGTGCCAAATTTTTACCAATACAAACGATTTTTACATAAAAATATTGTTCGTTATGCATCATATCAATATGTCATATGTAACCTTGAAACAAAGAAAAAAGATTATTTTTGTGTGCATAAAAATTACACTAAAAACATTATTCTCTATAATTTTAATAAAACAAATAATATATTTGATACCAGATAAATAAAAAAATTATTGACATTGACATAGGAAAAGCATATTGCAGTATTTCGATAACATGCTAGAAAATTTATATACTAATGCTATATTAATTAATTAATTTATTAATGCTATATTAATTTATTAATGCTATATTAATTAATTAATTTATATGCTATACTAATTAAAAAATATTTTATAGAAATATTGATTTGAACATAAAAAAAAATCAAAGTAAGCTTGATAACTACAATGTAAACAAACGGACAGCTTATGGAACGTCAAAAGTGCCACGCCCACTTTTCAGAAAAATAGCTATAAAATCATAAAAAATCATCGTATCGAAAAAATTTGAACAACACGTGATTCAGGCTGACTATCTTTATATTTTTAACAAAAAAAAATTATTTTTGAAAATTTTATGATTTCAAGGTCCCGTGTCCCCTTAAGATAAATAACAAATGTGTGAACATTTTGTTTTCGAATATATTAACTGATGATATTTAGTTATCTATGTCTGAAGGAGTGTAACCCTCCCCTCATTATCACTCTTGTTCTTTTCATTACTTTTAAGGGTGTCTCAATTTTGTGTTGTTCTACTTATTTGTATAATCAACTTTATAAGTTTTAACGATTCTCATAGAGAAATTTATTTAAATATCTACAGGTTGGAGTTTCGTTGTGGATTATTTGAATACGAGATTTCTACAAGTCGCCACACACATTTTCCTCGGAAGGAAAGAAAATAAGTTATGAAATTCTCTAAACGGTCTTAAAAAGAGTTAAGAACGCAAAAAATGATCCCCGCAAATAAAACAAGTGTTAAATACCAGCAGCTGTGTGACTTTTCTAAAACAGAAGATTTTAATGATGACTAACTATCGGTTGTTTTGCATGCAACATAAACGTTCAGATTGCTCTTAAAAACATCCATCCCCCCCCCCCTAGTGTAGTAACAACAAACATTTATTTTACAAGGAAATGTTTTATTCAAATATAAGTGGATTGATAGGAAAATCATGAGAAAAATAAAACCAGAGAATAAAAAATTAAATTGAATATCTCTACATAGAGTGTGTCAAAAACAGAAGGTGTTAAAAATATGCGCTTATATCCTCTCATTAGAAAATAGCCTCATTTGTTTACATTACGTCCGACTCAAGGGCTTCG